AGCCCCTTAAAATGATTTAAAACTCACTGTCTTTCCTAAGTAGACAAGGGAAGGAACATTATATGCAGAATTTAAAATTAAAAAGGGAACAGAGCTGCAGGCAGAGAGATGTCTTGCACAGAGGAAGTTCTAACAATCAGAAACAAGGACTCAGTGTGCTTTGCTGTGCTTGCACGGGTGCCCACATTCATTACCAGATGGATGGCGAGGGAAGAATACTCCCATAAAAGAATACGGACTTCTTGTAAGGCAGCCTCCTACAATGAGAAACGTTTTCAAACAGCATCAACAAAACAGGGTGTTTTGACAGAATAATAATGTAATCTAGGGAAAGTTGCTAACACTCTTTCTTTCAGCCTCCATTCTAACATAACACAGGAACAACAGTGTGCTATCCTGCAGGGTTGCAAGGACAAATGAGACGCTAAAGCAGTCTGCTCTGGGGAATAGTAAGAAAAATAATAAAAACAAGACACCGCGGAATCCTACTGATATCTACAAATAAGTCTGAATGGCTTTTGCTCGCATCATCTCCAAGCAGAGGAAAACAAGCCCCTCCCTCACATCAAGGTACAGGGCTTACTCAAAATTTATTCTGCGATCAACACACTTTTGTGCTTGCCATGTTCTATCATGTTCCCGGCTAAGGACTTTAGGGCTCAAAAGCTGGAACCACAGGACCAAGAAGCTGGGAACAAGTATAAGTGAGCTGTAACAGTAAAATACCAGAAGTCTCCTCCATAGTAACTTGGAGCAGGGCTTTCAGAGTGGCTACCTTCGGTTTGTAGAACAGCATCCCTGTTGAGATATGGCAGATGCCCTCTAACTCTACTTTCTGGAAACAGCAGAATACATTTTTTTGCTTCAACAAGCTTTTTCCAGCTGGATGATACTTTCATTAGTTGTGGGGTTATGGGTACCGTTTTTAATACAGTTTTAATTGCTTTGTGGTATGTTTGTGAATCACCCTGAGATGCACATAAAAGGATATTAATAAATACTAGTACTAATAATCCTGGACTGTGCACTGAGGCCTCATAGCAACCTTTTCAGGCACCAACTGATGTAGTGGCATTTATTACCAACCCCGAAAATTGGCAGGCAATATTAAGCCTCTGTTTTGGATGTCCTAAGATAAAAACTAGAAGTCTGGTCTTCTTCCTTATGACCAGGGTATTCCATTGTGCTTGCTGTACTGCAGGCTGCGGGCCCCAACTCAAGCCACTGCCGGCACATAACAAGCCAGAATTTCTGGTTTGTTGTGGTTTACTGTGAACAAGTGCACAAGTGCCTTTCACTCCTGAATCACTCTTAAAATGCTTGGCAAAAATATGTTGGGGTTCAAAACTCCACTCAGCCATGAAACGCTCTAGATGGCCTTGGGCTGGCCACTCTCAGTCCACTCTCCCTCCCAGGGTGGTTGTGAAGATGAAATGGAAAAGGGGAGAACCATGCACACATTTTGATCTCCTTGGAGCAAATGTAGGATATAAATGCAACAAGGTTTTTTTTAATAAAAAAATGAATAGAACTGGGGAGGGGAGAGGGTCCCAAGTTCAGAGGAGTGCCAACATTCATCAATAGAATGTGAACAGAAAGATACAGTACAGGATTCTTGTAAAAGGCTACTGAATTATATAACATAGAACATCTAAGTTCAGCATCCAGCATGACCTTCCATTCTCTGAATTAGATGGGTACAGATGCTTTATAAATGCACAGGCTCTTAGGAGAAGTGAGGAAAGGATTGTGGTCTGCTAATGATCAGATTCAAAGAAACAGAGAAGCAACTTGCGTCCTCACTCTAGTCTAGAACACAAAAGTGATGCCTGTAGATAACTTTTGGCCAGTTAATGATGTGTCCTGTTTGTCCTTGGCCGAGGCGCGGGGGATGAAAAACGATAGAGGATAAATGCCAGCTCAGATGGGAATCAACTGAGAAATATCCAGCTACTTCAGTGCCTCGATAGAGGAAAACAGGTTTGCTGTGACTGATCACAGAGCAATAACAACAACCCACAAAAAGGCCACAACAAAAAAGTGTGCTGGTTAAAACTAATATTCAGCCAGGCAGCTGTCACTTCAAAAGAAAAAGAATAGCAGGTCATTGCATTCTAGGATATGGTAATAAAAAACACACAACTTTGCTAGAACTGCAGAAGGCAGGGTGGGGGAAGAGATAAAATACATTTTCTCCTGCAAAATGTGCAAAGCAATTCCGAGTAATGTGGCACATGACAGCTAGCTGGGATGGATTTGGAATGCAAATTTAGAGCAACTCTGAAATCGATCACAGAAAAGGACCCCTTTGAGGTTTTGAAATTGTATGAGCCTAAGAAATGAAGCATGGACTCAGAGTCCCCCAACCGTCCTTTCACTCATACAGGGACTTCTTTCATCTGCAATGGTGCCCGTTAATACTTTCATCCAATTACCTTGTCCTGCATTCAACACAAACATACCAGCTCCCATTGCTTTAAATTAATTTGAGCTTGTTTTCCTATAGTCTTTAACCAATGACTTGAAAACAAAAAATTACCCACAGCAGTATGAGATGGCATGGAAAAATGGGTGGTTCAGTGGTAGGCTGGTTGGCTCAAGGGACTGCTAATGAGACGCGCGGCCTCCTATCTAGGTCACCCTTGCATTCGTCTCTCCAATGGCATGGCAGAACTACACTTGGACAAGCACTGCGTAATGGAACAACAGCACAAGAGGCTTTCGTTTTGATTCATAAAACCAGCCTTTTGTCAAGGTTTGGAACATGTAAACAAGGTTTTACTCTCCCAGTCATCTACAGAACCACAAGGAAGATGCTAAAAATGAGCGTGAAGATCAGAAAGAAGTCAACCGGCAAGAGGCATAAAATGGAATTTCACGAACTGAAAGGAAACCCAATACATTTTGAGCTCTAACAGACCTGCACAACTTGAGATTCATCAAGTCAAATGCAGCCCCAAAAGCCATAGACTGAGTCCTTCCAGATGTCTTTGAAACTCTGTGTTTTTGTAGTCTCAGAAAGGCAGCCCAACTAGTTTAACTGAGGCCCAAGCAAAGTGCAAGTTGGCCCTGCTGACCTTAAGTTGAACAGCCTTGTGCCTGGGTAGCCCTTCATCAGGAGGCTATTTGAAAAGGAAATATTCTTTAAAATGCAGGGATTTTAAAAAAATGCCCTTTTTTTATTCTAGTGATTCCCCCCCCCCCCCCGATGCTAGCTGCACCCTAGCAAAATACATTACTAAGAATAATTATGAAGCAGCCAGCAGATTTTGAACGAAGGGGCATCCTGCTTGGTAGCCCCTTGCCAACTCTGTGTAAAACAGATAGCACACTGATAGGGTGAATGTGGAACACTAACTGAAGCAGTCACTGGGAAGTGCTGCAAGAAATGGGATTTAATATTCCGGAACACAGGAACCAAGGAGGTTGGAGCTTCTCCACTATCCCACAAAAAAGAGCTGTGGTGCCCAACTAGGACATCATAGAGCAATTAATGACATTCTTCAAACTGCACACTGAGCTGTGGAATTCACACCCCAAAGATATAGCAATAGCCACCAACTTAGGCAATTTAAATAAGGAATAGAAGATAAGGCTCTCAACAGCTACTAGTCATGATGGCTATATGCTACCTTTAGGATCAGAACCACCATGCCTCAGAATACAAGTTGTTGGGGAAACACCAGTGGGAGAGGGCTGTTGTTCTTTTGTCCTGCTTGTGAGCTTCCCATAGGCATCTGGCTGGCTATTGTGGAAAAGAGGGTGCTGGACAAACTAGGCCTCTGGGTCTGACCTTCTCCTTTCATTTTATACCACTGTTTCTCCAGGGATGTGTCAGGGTGACACACATTGTTCTCTCCTCCTATTGTATCCTCAAAAACAATTCAATGAGGCAGGTTAAGCTACTCCAAAACAATTGTTTTCACTCCCGTGCAAAATTATGCAGATGTGGTTGATTAAAACTCCCATAATTAACTAGCTAAGCCTTCTTTGTATCAGGAAATAATAGTTCTAATGACATTCCCTAATAAAAAGATAGAAAGAAACCGAGGACATTTTGGGAAGCACTTTCACCTTCTTGACAAGGACACAAGCTGGGCCTAAGAAGTCTGTGACTTTCCAAGAATGTTTTATCTTGCTATCTTTAGGTCAGCACAGCACATGGTCCACTGCACACAGTGGAACATTGCTGGAGGGGGGAGAGGGGGAGAAAACAGGCAGCAGATCTCCACACAGAATTCAAGAAACCTCACATCATTAGGCTTCACATGTCAACATTCATGCTGCTGAAGCCATTCCAATGTGCCAGTTGTCACAGATTCAGTGCAAGAGGAACTTGCCAGGACTGGCAAAGATGTGCAGGTTTGGGAGGCAGCAACAAGCCACAACAGCATTGGCCCAATTTAAGAATGAAACTTAGCCATGAAGACGGCAAACCATGTGTTGTGTATATTTGTGTATTCTGGTTTTTGCATGTGCAGCATTAACACACTGACACAGAGGGCATCTGGATTTTGGATTCCTGCTATGCCAACAATACACACACAGGGGTCAGCAACCCGATTAAAGTGTGATGCCAGAAACATGCCAGTTATCTTTTTCATAATCAGTATCACTTTTAGCTCCCGCTTCTGACAAGCCAATTTTAGATGCTCAATGCAAATTGTAATGAAGTTGGAGCTCGGAAGAGAATTGATCTAGTAAAGAATACGATCTAGCATAAGAAGCAGCTTATTAGACTCTAATATGGAGTTATAAATAGGACTGTAGATTCCATATTATAAAACATTCAAACAATGGGCCAAATTCTGTACCAAGGACAGCAGAGCCCTACCTTATGGCGAATAAAGCAAATGCACACATAGTTCTGTGTCATGTGTTAGAAACATAGGCAGCTGCCTTTTAACAAGTATGACCATGGGCCCATCTGGCTCAGTATCGTAAACACTGACTGGCAGCAGCGCTCCAGGGTTTCAAGCAGGAGCTTTCCTAGCCCTACCTGGAGACACCAGAGATTGAACCTGGGACCTTCTGTATGCAAGACAATTGCTCTACCGCTGGGTTATGGTCCTTCCTCAAATAATTAGGCTGAAACTGCCTGTTAGTATTCCTCAAGCCCTGCCACTTTCAAGAGTATCACTGCAGCCTTAAGGGCCAGCAGATTGCTGTTTCAAAAATAAGCACACATTCCATTTCAAGAGAAATCTCAGGAGGTTGAATTCCTCATCAGACACTCAGTTTTTACACCTGTGTCCTACTGCAGTCTTTGAAACCAGCCAAGGGTTCCTCCTCTTCATGTCAGCTTCCAAGTGGAAACCATATTCGCCATTGGCAATATCTTTGCCCATCATGGAACTCACCCTCTGGAGAGTTAACAAACCCCAAGCCTGAACACATCTTTCTGCATGCACTGAATGAACTACTTATTTAGTTCATGTTGGCTTCCAGTGTGGGAATTAACCTCCGGTTTCAACAGCGTCTCAACTAGAAGCGAACTCTATTAATGGAGGGATCACCCACTTAAATTCTTATCCATCTCAAGCTTTCAGTAACATTAAAGCACCGAAGCCAAATTTGTAAGTAAGCAAATGGGGGAGGGGGACTGTTGCACCATCTTGGCCAGAAGAGATCCAGCTGTTCCAGCCCCAAGCCACTCTTAGAGGTGCCATAGGAGACCTGCTTGATTGGACTGGAGAAGGAAGGTTGATGCTCTCAGGTTCTGATGAGAGCTTGTATGGTAAACCTGGTGGATTCCTACCCTGGGGCATTAGGAGAGGTACTCTCCCTCCTGGCGTCTGGAAAGAAAGGGATAAAAGCCTACGTGAGAGCTGAGGATTGGATTGTTCAACAAAATGGACCTGCCCATCTTCTTGATAGAATCAGCTCCTTGATAGGTCCACTAGAAATAAAATAGCATGTTTTAGAAAGCTACTACGCCTCTAGGTTTTTATAGCATTTACATCTTGTATTTTTACAACTGTTGCTAGAATTATTATTTTTTTATAGTTATAATATATTATTAATAGATTCTGAGATCCTACCAAAATGAACTATTAGAGTTATTGGAAATTGGGCTTTTTAACTGAGTTGTTAAGAAACTGTGTGACATATTGAGACTGATTAGTCTTTTTGGCTGTGTATTCTTGTTTTTATTACCTAAATTTTTATTGCTCTGTTTTGATTTGTTCTGAGCTGCCTTGGGCACAATTCCGGGGAAAGGAGGCATACAAGCAAATTGATTAGTAATCAGCTACACAAAGGTATAGAACAAAAACTGTGCCCTGGGCCTAACACTGTTATGAGAATCTGTTTTTATTTACCATCTGAATTCAAGCACGATTAAGACAGGGAAACAAGTCACAAGATGGATCCTTTCGGCTACCAACATGGTGCACAGAAAGTAATACCAGGACGAGGGGGGCGGGGAGAAAGAAGAGGAAAATCTCCAGCATCTAAAAACAGCACTGGAGTTCAGATTGTGACATATCAGACCTTAACTGATAAATTTTGTTGATGCACCCTTAGAACAGAATTCAGCTCCTTTCCCCATAACTATATAAAATGCTGCCAGGCTAAAGGGATTTAAAACGTTTTGTCAGAATAATAAGTAGATATGACAGACACAGGGAGCAGGCAGAATAATAAGTCTGTTGTATAATGGCAGTCATTGTGGTGACAGGTGCGCTTGAAATGCCTAGCCAGATAATAAATGTCCTTCTCTCTAGCACCTTTGAAGGAAAAAAGGATCACGGTGCACTTTCCAATGTTAATTTGCTCAGGTTACTGCAGAACCAGCAGCGGGATGAAAGAAAGGGGGGGGGGGCAGTGAACAGGCATTAAGCTGGGCTTACCTTGGCAAGGGGTTGTGTTAAAATGGTACAATGGGGAAAGGTAAGGAAGAGTGCAAAGGTATGCAGATGAGAGAGAAAGGCTGTCTGGATTTGTTCTAGGCAACTGCATCTTCAACCTAACCTAACCTGATTCACACCACCACCTGCCGACTCAGAATGAAGCAAGGGTTGGGGCAATGAGAGGCCAATGCTAAAAAAATCAATAGTAGAAGAGCTCCCCTTGTCGCTCAGGCTTCAGGGCCAAGCTACAGTTCTGTAGATGGCTAGGTCCAACAAACAACATCATAGGTACATAGGAAGCTAAAAAGTAAAAGTAAAGGACCCCTGACAGTTAAGTCCAGTCGCAGATGACTCTGGGGTTGTGGCACTCATCTTGCTTTACTGGCCGAGGGAGCCGACGTTTGTCCGCGGACAGTTTTTCCGGGTCATGTGGCCAGCATGACTAAGCCGCTTCTGGCGAAACCAGAGCAGCGCACGGAAACCTTACACCAAAGTCAGACGATCGGTCCATCTGGCTGAGTATTGCCTACTGTGATTGGCAGCAGCTCTCCAATGTTTCAGACAAGGTGCCTTTTCCCAGCCCTGTGTTGAGACACTGGGGATTGAACCTGGGACCCTCTGCATGCAGAGCATGTGCTCTACTGCTTTCAAGAGTTTTTGTGTGTGATCTGACTGGCAACTCTAAGAACAAAAGAACAGCCTGCTGGATCAGGTTGATGGCTCATCTAGTCCAGCACCCTGTACTCACAATGGCCAACCAGATGCCCATGGGAAACCAGCAAGCAGAACATAAGCACAAGAGCACTCTCCCCCTCCTGTGGTTTCCAGCAACTGGTATTTGGAAGCTGCCTCTAACTGTGGAGGTAGGGCATAGCCATCACGGCTAGTAGCCATTGATAGCCACTTTATTTTATCTGTTCTAAATCTTCTAGCAATCAGTTATTGGGTGTCTACAGTTCCCTCCTAGAGCAGGCATGTCCAGATTCAACCATTCTTCAGTATCACAGGCAGTGTGGAGATATGCTTGAGGGAGGGGATGCTCATTCACCCCCTAGTTCCTCCTCAAGTTCACAATCTGGCCACTGCTGAATAAGGAAGGTAATGCCGTAAGTGAGCATCCTATGCACAACTGAAAAGCACATGTTACACCCTTAAGGAACTTGAAGATTTCGCAGTTGCACACACACAGTTGAAAATAGCCTTGGTGTGGTATCCTCCCTCCCACACAGAAGCAGCTGCAAATAAGGCTTTTGCTCAATTTTGACACCTCCAGGAAGGAAAGTACCGGGGCTGCCTACGCTTCCCATCTGTGACTCAAAATTTTTAAACCTTTGTATCAAAGGGGAGATTGGGGAGCAGAATCTCCTGAATTCTTAAATGCATTGAGTGCTGTTGGGAGTAAAGTTACTCAGCAAGGGGATCCGCTGACTTTGCTCTGTGGGGAGCGGAGGATGAGAAGAGCACTAACTAGCACAAGCCCTTCTGCTCCAGGACATTTTCTCAGGAGCTCTCATAAATGCAGTACAAGCCTCTCCTAAGTAGCACCAATAGCTTGAGCATGATAAACACATTAAAATATTCTCCGACTCTTGTTCACTTTTTGGTGTCATGTTCCTTTAGGAGTTTGGGTAAAGCTTAGCAGATTGGAAAATAGTTGCAAGATGCAGAAAGGCAAGGAGCACAGATAAGGAAAGCCAGACTCAATCACGGAGCACTTCCAGATGGTGGTTTCCCAAGTATACAACTGTGTACAAGTGCAGCACCCCAGGGGAAAGAAAGGGGCTGCTGCTGCCCCAGTGCTCCCAAGCTGCATGAAGGAAGCCACTGGGGTGGGGCTATCTCACCCCTTATACACCCAACTGATCACTGCAATCCGCAGGTGAGGGCCTCCTGCAAACACCATTTTACTGGGAGATCCATTCCATGCAATAATTGGAATTTGGCCTTTAGTGTGATGGCAACAACTTCCTGGAATCCCCTTCCAAGCTAAATATTATATAGGTACTTCCTTTCTTATCTTTTCAGTGCCTACAAAAGACCTTCCTCTTTCAACAAGCCTTTCATGTAGAGTTCTTTCCCAGTCTGCACCTCTATGCAAATTGCTTTTAGATGCTTTTCAGATTGTTTGTGTGTTTGCTGCTCTCAGATCCTTTGGAAGGATGCAAGGATTCGTCCATTAACTCACAAACTCTGGCAACAAGGAAGAACCCACAGTTAAAAGAGTGGGATTATTAACAGGAGCCTCCCAGCTGAAATAACCAATTCCACTCGAAGAGTAACATAGTAGCAGAGACCAAGGCTTTAGATTCTGCGGTGACTTCAGCAAAAGTCCAGAGGCAACTAAGCCATTTTTAGAAGCAGAGTGGTGGGAGGGCAGAGGTTCGTTCCGCTTCTTCTCCCAGGAGCAGCCTTGAGCAGGTGGGTCAATAAAGAGAAATATCGAGTGCATTGTATATAGCTGCTCCAGTGCAAAACTCCCCATTTGCATGAAGCTGTAAAAGGGCCAGTCTTGACATGATTCTTGAGGAGATGTACCAGCAGGACTAGTGTAATGAGGGGGAGGAATGGCATGTGGCTGTAGAACTGGATCCTGGGGGAGGGCCCAGCAGTTCAGGAGGCACTGCTCTAGATGTTGAGGAGGAGCCATGTGGGCTGTCAAAGAAAAGTCTTGCCTCAAGTCCTGTCAGCAGAGAAGCCACCTGATGCAACTCTGCTGCCCCCTCCCATCATCAAAGCGCTTCCTGTCCCCAGGAAGGCACCTGAGGCTAGATCAGACAGTGAGCTGACCACTCCAACTCTGCCTCTGTCTCCAAGGATGTGGCCGACCTAGCCCACTCACAGGAGTGCCTTTTTGCTTTCTCAGTCCCAAAGCTTGGATCACCAACCAAGCAAATGACTGTGCCTGCACTGCTATTCGGAAGTAGAGCTCAGGACATGTGTCAAGTGTTGGAATGTCTTAGCTTATGCTTCACCATGTAACTTAGTGCTCAGATATAACAGCTGGCTTGCATCTATGTTTTGGTCATGCAGTGAATTCTGGATTAAAGCCTTTGGCAACTATTGATCAGAGAGTCCAAGTACTGCGCCCTCAAATAGGAGCCAGGACAGGTCTATGTGGTAGTGGTGATGGTGGAGAGGCAACAGCCAGATGTCCTTATCTGATCCTTTACACAAGTGATGGAAAAGGAATGAGAGAGACTAAACGCCAAGAGTGCCCAGACCTG